AAGGAGCATCTCCTAAAAGGAGTCCCCCCCCCCAGCAACTTCTCTCCCCAAAAAGCAGCTTCTCTGCCCCCAAAAGCCACCTCACCCCTGCGCTAAAATGCGGCTTTCCACCCAAAAGAGCAATCTCTCCCCCCAAAAGCGACCACTTCTCTGAAGGACACTCCTCTACAAGAAGTGGGGAGGTTTCTTCCCCCCAAAAAAGTGACTTTTCTTCCCCAAACCATAAGTTTTCTCCAAAAAGTAGCTGCTCTCTAGGAATAGCTCCCCCCACAACTGACTTTTGTCCCCAGAAAGTGACTTTTCTCCCCAAAAAGCAACTTCGCTCCCGCCCAAGAGGGAATTTTGTCACTAAAAAGGAACTTTTCTCCCGCCCGAAAGTTGCTTTTATCCCCCAAAAGGGACTTTTCCTCCCCCCAAACGTAACTTGTCTCCCTCCAAGAGGGACTTTTCTCCCCACAGAAGTGGCTTTTGTGCCCCAGAAGTGACTTCCCCCTCAAAAGAGTAACTCTTCTCCTGCAAAAACAACTTTTCTCCTTGCAAGAGTGGCTTTTTCTCCCCCAAAAGTAACTTTTCTCCCCTCCAATAAACTTTGCTCCTCCCAAAAAGGACTTTTGTCCCCAAACCCCAACTTCTCTCCTCCCCAAAGTGGTTTTTGTCCCCCAAAACCAACTTTTCTCTCCCCAGCAGTGACTCTTGTCCCCAGAAAGTGAATTTTCTTCCCCTAAAAGTAACTTCTTCCCCCCCCCAAGTACTTTTTCTCACCCAAAAAAACCTTTTCTCTCCCAACAAAGTGCCTTTTGTCCCCTAAAACTGACTTCTCTCCCTTCTCAAAACATCTTCTCTTCCTAAAGGGAACATTTCTCCTCCAAAAGGTGACTTTTCCTCCCCCAAAAGTAACTTTCCTCCCCAAAAGGTACTTTTCGACTAAACCCGAAACTTCTCTCTCCCAGTAAAGTGTCTTTTGTACCCTAAAAAGCAACTTTTGTCCCCCAAAAGTGGCTTTTCTCCCACCAAGGTAGCTTCTCATTCCCAAAGGTAACTTCTCTGCTCCAAAACCCAACTTTTCCTTCCCCCAAGAGCAACATTCCACCCCAAAAAGTTACTTTTTGAGTAAAAAGAAACTTTTCTCACCCAATAAAGCGCCCTTCGTTCCCCAAAAAGCAACTTTTGTCCCCCAAATGTGGCTTTTCACCCCCAAAGTGGTTTTTCTTCCCCCAAAGCAACATTTATCCTTCAGAAAACAACTTTTCTTTCCCCCAAAGTAACTTTCTGCCCAAAAAAAAGTGAGTTCCTCCCTCCCAAATGTAACTTTCCTCCCCTAAAAGTGACTTATCTCCTGAAAAACAACTTTTCTCCTCCGGAAAAGTGACTTTTCTACCCCAAAAAGCAACTTTACCCCCTAAAAGTAACTTTTTGCTCCCCAAAACAACTTTTGGCCCCTCCCCAAAAGTGACTTTCCCCCCTCAAAACCAGTTCCCTGCTCCCAAATCTCTCCTCTCCCCTTCCAAACGCGACTTCTCTCCCCAAACTAAAACATTCTCCTCCAAACCCTGACTCCTCCCCTGCCAAAGCGGCGCTTCCCCTCCCGAAAGCGCCT